AATTTTTTTTGTAAATTCTTAATAGTTGGTATTTTTCAATCTTTACAGGAATCATAAAATAATATAAATGCATTTTGACAGTTTTGGTATTATTCAATCATGCATAAATCATAAATTAATAATTAATATGTTCTTGAAATGTTCAAAATTTTTGATCTTATAATGAAAATGTTACACACTTTTGCTTACACCAATGTCATTTAATAAACAGAACATTACAGCTGTCACTTGAAGATATGAATTTTATCTTCAAGTTTTGAATTTATTTATCCCACGAGTTAGCACAATATTTCCATGCACCCATGTAATATCCTTTATTTAATCACACAGGAATGAAAACAATAATAAATGCATTTTGGTAGTTGATATTTGTCAATCATACAGTGATCCAAAAAAATGATTTAAGTCTTATGGGTCATTTGAATTTGACAGTTTTGGTGGTTTTTCAATCATACAGGAAACATACGTTACGTAATAAATTAATCACACAGGAATTACACTAATTACCTCAATACATTTTTGACATACAGTGATCATAAATGATAATACATTTTGACAGTTTTATAAACAATTAAAGGAATCATAAGCTTAATGTTCATAATGATTATCCATTTTTCAACCTCTCAAATTCTTTGCTAATATCTTTGCTCTCTGTATTTGTTGACAGTTTGTATTAAAGAGTTTATTGAAGAATAAAAAGTAAAAATCTGAACATTCAAATAATATCAAGGCTCTCTTTTCAAAATGCATAGTTTTATACTTAAAACATACGAGTAGTTTTATGTCAAACAAGATTATTATTGTGGATAGAATGTACACACAATTCACACATATTTTCATTGTCAACAAGCTCATTTAATTGAGAAGTTTTGAAGTGTATCATGTAAAGATTTTCAAATTCAAAAGCAAATTTAAACCAGAATAAAACTGCCTATTTAAGTTATAAGGTTCTTGAAGTAGAAGAATTGATATAATTGAGCACCAAAAACCGCTTGCATGTAAGCTTATAATCTAACATACCGCCATTTGTTTAATAACGCCACGGTATCGTCGGAGAATATGTCAGTTCTCCTATGAGAAATTCTCCCTCAATAATCGTTGTCTTTGGCGTTCACTTGTTTCTCGATTTGCTTGAGTCTTTATTACTTAAATTGTTTCGTCTATCACGTTTTCTCTCCCTTTCAAGCCTGCGTTGTTCTTCACTTAGACTTCTTCGACGCTCTCTTTCTCTTCTTCTTGTCTGTTCCAAGTGTACCAAGTCATTGGGTTATGCTTCAATGCTTACTGATTGATAAACAAATTTGTTTAGGTGGAGGTGGAGGTGGCTTTTATTCATCTGGTCGCAGCAGCAAGACATTTGGCGGATCTTTTGGCGATGGCGGAGAGGGCGGAAAAGGATTCTTACAGGGAGGTGTTGGAGGAAGATCAAGTAGATATGATGTTCCTGGTGGATTTGGAGGAGGTGGAGGGCCCTATGGGTGGGGTGGTGGAGCGGGTGGTGGTGGGGGATATTCAGGAGGGGCTAGTGGTGACGATACCGTTGATTCTTCTGGAGGAGCTGGAGGGTCGTATAATAGTGGATCAGATCAAAGCAATACATGCTGCTACAACAGCCAAGGTCATGGCTATGTTATCATCTCAATAGTGTAAACTGTGAAATTAACCTGTTGACATATTACTTTTGGGTGTGCTTTTCAATTTAGTTCAAACTATAATCTTTTCCTCTGTTTGCAGAGGTTGCTGTGAATGGAATATCACGCCCGTCAATTTACATATTTTTTACAGATAATTCCGATGGGATATGTAATCTTTCACCAAAAATATCCTTATGTAAATATAAGTAGAGATGAAGGTTTTTAGATTTCATTATTCTAAGCACAAACTTTTTAGAAATCGTTGACCGTCAACGTTATTGTCTTGTGAATTAGAATAGTTGCGTTTCGCGAACTGTTGTCCACTTTGCTAAATTGTGTGTAACTCGAAATAATTCAAACGGTTTTTATTGCCTTCTATATTCATAGATCTCATGCTTTTGCACGGATTGTTACGGAATAAAAGAATAAATTATCTTAAATCCTTATATTTGCTTTTATTGCTGATTTTCTACATTTATCAAGCCTTTTAACAGTATCTTTGTTGCAATCAGACAACACGACCAGATACAGTCTTTCGCTGATTGCAAGCACTATATTATATTGTTCAATTTTTAACCACCCTTGCTTACAGCCATACACAAGAATTAACTATCATAGTTTTTTCTTGCTTTTAAAAAGTACAAAGATCACTTTTAACAATTTCAAAATCAATCGCATATTGCATTGAAGCAGGTTCATCTATTCATAAGTAGCACAGGAAATTCATGCATGCGATGTGTGGTCGTCTGACACACTATAACATTAATGATTTTAATTTTAAAGTTTCCTCGTTCTTTTTCACTGCCGATAATAAGTATTTTTCATGTAGATATATCTTTCATTTCTCTTTCTCTTAAGGGTGCTCAGTTAAACATTGCTTTGTGAATGTCAACTTTTTTCATTAATTTGTATATATTTTTTTTTATATGTCCTTTTTTCTTTCCTTTTTCAAAAATCTGTTTACGCTGCAGGTTTAGCGTTTTGTACTAAGACATATTGCATTTTGTACAATTATGGAGAGACAGTCAGTTTTGACTAGAATCTGTAAAGGGCAAATTCCACGTGAGACATCAAAAAAAAGGTAATTTCGAAATTCAGTGGATCTTGTAATTCCTTTTGCATTAGACACCCAAAGACCTGGATTGTTTAAATTTGAAAATATATTCCAGTTACTTGGCTTACTCGTCTAATGATCAGACATTAAAGTTAACCTTTTTTTATCTTGGAAAAGCTCAATATTTTTAGATAACCTTTTTCTAAGGCAAGAAGATAACGGCCAAAAAGAATATATAATTTCGTTATTGGATATTTATAGGTAGCCATCACCTACACTTATCACATGACCATGAACAATTTGCAAAATATTAACTAACCACTACAGAAGGAATGATTTAATGTGAGTTGGACATTACGTAATGTCCACAACGTTTAAACCTTCTAATCAATCGCATGAATAATTGGTTAGAGACACTAAAATGCCTTTTAGGATCCTATGTTAGATTGATTGTACAAGTATTTTAGCATAAAAGTTTCATTTTTATAGCCTCGATTTTATGAGTTATTTTAGCTGTAAACTGTTGTGGACATTTTGAAAATGTCTTTGTAAACTTGGACCGCGGAGCAGGGGA